CAACAAAATTTTGAGAGGAGAGAAAGATAGGAAGTGTTAAATGAAAACCGCTTACAGATTGCAAAGTGATGCATAAAACAGGCAAACTGCTCCCCTTAAAACGATTACATTTTACTTGACTTCTATGCATCATGCACGCTCTGAGGAAGTTTCTGCTCTTCTCTTCTTCTCTTCAGGCTATGAAATGCCTTATAAAAAAATGTAAGATTTCAAAATATGTTGTGAAAATATTCTCTCTCAAATTTTCTACATTTCTTCTTGGGCACTAGGAAGTGAAATAAATAAATAATAAATAAATCTCTAATATGTGCACTTACTGCACTATGTGTCCATTTTTGAAGTTCATCTCAAACTTCTAGAAGCAACTACACATTCAAATGTAATATACTAGCAGGAAATAACAGGAAAGAGGCTTGATAGAGAGAGCATACTGTAGTGATGTTAAAAGACTTATTTAATCAACTGTCACTGTTGCACTTTTCTGTTGCACTGTTGTGTCTGCACCCTCTTGTGTCTTCTGTTCTGTCTTTCTTTGTTTTTTGCATCTGACATGTGACTGTGAAGGTGTAGCTGGAAAAAGTGGTTTCAATGACTCACAGTTTTTCACAGGTTTTGGTACTCTTTGGTGTTTCACACCTTTGCTTGGTTTTACAATATATATATATATAAAAATTAAAAATTCATTACATTTATAATTCATTACATTTAAACTAATTTGGTTCAATTAGTTAATTAGTTAGTTCAAGTTTATTTAAGAGAAAAAATAAAATCACATGTTTAGTGGAGATAGATGATTGATGTGGGAGGAGTGACTGATAGGAAGTGTTGATGAAAGCCACAGAAACATTGCAAGGTGATGCATAAAGCAGACAAACTGCCCCCCTAAACAACGACATTCTACTTGACTTCCACGCATCATGCACGCTCTACAGAAGTGTCTTCTAGTCACAGCTGTGACATGCCTCATACAAAATGGTAAGATTGTAAAATATTTTTCTTAAAGTTATGCAAAAAATATATTTCTCTCAGTTTTTCTTCATCTATTTTCAGCACTGGGAAGTGAAATCATAAATGGCAAAAAGGCTGATGAAAAGTCCATGCAGTATATGGCATCAGTACAAAACAACAAAAAACACACATGTGGAGGATTCCTTGTCAGTAAAGACTTTGTAATGACTGCTGCGCACTGTCGTTTTGAGTGAGTAGCCACCGATACTCCAAGCAATGTCACATTCATCTAAACATAAATAATTATTTTGTTTTTCAATCATTCCTGCAGGAATCCTAAATCCTTAAGTGTTGTTCTGGGCACCCATGATCTCAGGAAGGAAAATAAGAAAATGAGATATGGAGTAAAAATGATCTGCAGACACCCTGCCTTCAAGGAAGTTGCAAATGGGAATGACATCATGCTCCTCAAAGTAAGTATTCATCTATTCAGCCTCAACGTCACAAAAGATATCAGACGTTCTTGTGAATCAATCAATCATTAAAAAGGTTAATACAGGGAGGAAAATATAAAAGAAATAAAATTAAAAGAACAGCAAAAAAACCCTAAATCATTCAGAGAAACATTTTCTGGCACTTTCTGCCAGCATTTATAATCAAACCATTCAAAAATTATATGATTTTCTTTAAGTGTCAACCAATCAAAACACATTTGGGCGATCGTGGTTCAAGAGTTGGGAGTTCACCTCGTAATCGGAAGGTTGCCAGTTCGAGCCCCGGCTCGGACAGTCTCGGTCGTTGTGTCCTTGGGCTAGACTCTTCACCTACCGCCTACTGGTGATGGCCAGAGGGGCCGATGGAGCGATATGGCAGCCTCGCTTCTGTCAGTCTGCCCCAGGGCAGCTGTGGCTACAACTGTAGCTTGCCTCCACCAGTGAGATGACTGGATGTGTAAAGCGCTTTGGGGTCCCTAGGGGAGACTAGTAAAAGCCCTATACAAATACAGGCCATTTACCATTTGTTTGTAGTACAGGTAAAAAAAACAAAACAGCAACAGCAGTAATACATGAAATGACTTCTAGTTCCAAAACAAACAAGCACTTTTTCTTAATTTGCTGTAATAATAATAAACACGTGACACATTAATAGATATATTAATACATCTAAATACGCTTGTGATAATGATACTATTGTAGAGTAATTTGCTTTATGCAAGTGCACGCACTTTCATGTCTTGAGAGATATGTAAAGAAAAATACTGGAGAACCTTAAATACACACAAATCTGACATGTTCATAACTGATATAAATAATCATTTTTATTTTCTGTGGGGTTTTTTGTTTGTTTGTTTTTTATCTTTCCAGCTGTCTAAGAAAGTTCCCCTGGGTAACAAAAAACCAATTAAGCTAATTCCACTTCCAATTCAAAAACTAAACCTGGAGGAAAACGAGATCTGCAGTGTAGCTGGATGGGGGCCCACAGAACCTGGTAAATCTGGTTATGTTAATGAGCTGCAAGTGTTGGATGTTCCCATCATTAACAAGGACAAGTGTCAGAAGCTGTGGAGAAGAACTTTAAAAAATGTTATTTGCACCGGTGGATACAAAGCAAAGAGTGGAATCTGTCAGGTAATTTTTTCATATGAATTATCAAACATAGTTTAAACATCAAAATTATCAAACAAAAACAAATTAATAATTGATATTTCTTCCTCACAGGGTGATTCTGGTGGGCCTCTCGTATGTAACGAGTCGGCTGTTGGCATTGTTTCCTTTAACAACAACAATAGCTGTAAATATCCAGATGTCCCAAACGTCTATACAGACATATCGCAATTTCTTCCTTGGATCACAGATATTCTCAAGAAAAAAAAATGCAAAGGGTAAAAAATATTTTCCATGTTATTGCGTGTGTATTGTAAGACTGTTAGGCAAGTGACATGTGAGCTGTGTAAACTGCTTAAATTCTGCAATATCTAACATTAACTGTATCTAACAAAATATCTAACAATATCTAAGCAATATCTAACAAAAACTGCTGATGACTCTTTCATTGTCAAGCTTACAAATAGATCAGTGACATAGTAGCTTTGAAGTGCACAAGTTAGTATCACGTATGAAAAAAGTCAAAGGAGGTTTTCCTGTGGTTCGTTGGTTGTATTACATAAACTAACGAGAACTAATATCCACTGACAAGTCAGAAAGCTCATAAACAGTCATATCCAGGGCAATTTCATCTCATTTTACTAAAGCCTGCCCGATACTGGAAACATGGACAGGCACTTCACCAGGGCACAAACTCCTCAATCCATATCATGAGATAAAAATGTCATCAGAACAAATACATTTTTAAAAAATGTATAGTTTTGTTTGACATCACAATTGTACGTGGCTATTGGGAAGTCAAGTGACTTCACAAAATTTTGATAATAGACTAATTTCCTGTATTTAGTAGTCTTTTTTCACATTTTATTTTACATCAGTTTATAATGTGAATGCTGTTATTTATGAAAAAGAAACCAAAATCCAGACACCAGTTCAATTTCAAATAAAATATAATGTGTCAATAGTGAGCCTTGTATTAAACATGACAAAAGTCATTTTGTATACAAATAATCTTCTGGAGCCCAAAGTTCAGGCGTCAGATTCCTCCACACACGTCATTTCAGATTATTTCTACCCTTGGAGGTTTATGATGTCATCGAGAGGAAACATCCCTTAAATGGTCATCTCAGGTACACAACTCTGGCCGTCCATAATTAGATCATTTATTTTATTATTCATGAATGCCACTTGGATGAATGTGAAATTATATACTCAGTGCCTTATTTTTTATTATGTTGTTAAAAAAATAAGAAAACCATATAGTCACACAGCGCTTTATTTTATACACTTCGAGTACTTTATCTACTTCACATCTATGATCTAACCACACAGGTACAGGGAGGACATGCAAACCTCACATATAAGGGTGTAAGGCAGGGTTGGAACAAAGCCCCTTCTTGCTAACCCTTCACTCAAGCACAATGCTACCCTTAAATGGAACAGGTATGGCATTGTGTAATGAAGTTCAGCTCTAAGGTGTGAACTGTTGCTTCCTTAAACAGCTAATTTAAGTGACTTCCTAGATGGATCAGTTACCCATTGCTTGAATAGATATCAGTGTAATGGAGGAAAACACAGTAATAATGAATGAAAACACTGAAAATTGAAACAAAGACATTTTATGGCACCATGATGGCATCAGTTTGCTCTTGCAGTGAAATTTTGGACAATTTAACTCCCCTTTTCACCACTAGGGGACAGTGTTTTACCAGAAAATTTGAGTGATAAACAAGAAATGTGTGTGTTTGGTCTGAGATCAGGGTGGTAAGAGGTTACAGAAGAGCTTACAGAAAGAAGTTTCTGGGTATAAACTGGGGCTTTTCTGTACTGTTTTGTGTTTTTACACAGCCCAGTGATAAACTGCAGGTGTAGATTGATTTCTTCCTCTTAACTAAAGACAGTTACAACAGCATGCATTTAATAAGAAGAAAATAGCTTGGTGGATAGCTTTATACCTTTCAAGGGCAATAAGATGACTGCTTCATTATTGTAAGATGACCACCACCAAAATGAAGCACCTAGATTGTTTTTCTTTCACAGACAATTTACAGCCTTTTATATAAAGGTACTGTTAACATCTTGTTAGTCTACTGTTGCTAATAATTAGATAAATAATTATGACCTCCACACACTCTCTTGCTAATGAAAATATTTGCCATAAAATTCTCAAACTGGTGCATTTTCTCAGTTGAAATGTTTTGTATATTTTTGTGCTCTATTGTGAATAAAATATGGGTAAAATATGAGGTCCTCTCTGCTTGC